CACGTGGGTTAACTCGCCACGTGGGTTAACTTGCCGTGTGGGTTAACTCGCCACGTGGATTAACTCGCCGTGTGGGTTAACTTGCCGTGTGGGTTAACTCGCCATGTGGGTTAACTCGCTGTGTGGGTTAACTTGCCATGCCGTGCAGGTTGCAGGGTCACTGGCGTGGCCAAAGCTCCAGGTCGTTTCAGCCCACATGTGCGGGGGCTCCGTACCAACCTGCGCCGTCCCCGGGATGGGGCAGCCGGGGACCAGTGATGAGATCCCCCCATGCCGGTCCTGGCCCTTTGCATGGACGCGGCATCTCCCAGCAGGAGAGGGGTCGGGTTCCTCTTGCGGGGATACTGAGCGCTTCCATCTAAGCCTTGTAAACCACTCATAGGTGCCAAATAAACGCATGTCATGCTTCAGGGAAGTAGGTATTAATTCATTTTTTCAGATTAATAAACAGATGCCCAGGAAAAGCTAAATAATTTCCTTAAGGTCCAGGAAAAAAAGGCACAGAGTAAACCAAGGGTTTTTGTTTGCTCCCCTGCCCTTGCATAAGACCCTTGTCTTGGTGTTTTGTTGCCGCGTCTATTTAGGGACAGAAACAGGGAAGCACGAGGCAGAAGAGGCGTCGGATATTGCTTGGACAGGGGCAGGAGACAAAGCGATACTGCAAACTGCAGCCGTCCACCCCAGCATCGTTAACGCGGAGGATTTGCTCGACACAGCTGTGGAAATCGGGCAGCCTCTTGGTGCGTGGAGAAGCGCCCGTGCTGGCGTTGGTGCTGTGAAGGCGGCGGCTGCGGTGCGTTATCCACCACCTGGTGAGCAGACATCGCTGTGAGGCCAGGACGGGTACAGCTCTCTCTGGGTTCTGTTTTGCAGGATGCGGGTGCCCTTTCCCAGAGCACGAGGAGCATAAAACACCCTGCGGCCGCTCATCTCCGCGCTCCTGTCCCTGCCTGGTTTTTTCTGATATGACATAGAACAGAAAAGCGTCCTCACACATTTAGACTGGATCTTTCATTCTGGCATTCAGGCATCGCAGCTCTGGTGTCATTAGGGAAAGTTACAAGCAAGAATTTTGAGTCCGAAATCCCAGCTGGCAGCGAGCAGAGGGCAATTCCTCTAATGGCATTTGGTTTGTAGCAAATAAAACTTGAGTTATGCAGTGCATTTGTATTTTCCACCTCCTCAGGAGCTACTTCAGGGCTGTGGAGCACGGGCTGAGTCACAAGAAACCATTAATTCTCATAACTTTGTACAACTTTAAGGCAACACCGAGCACTTTATCAGCCAGGTTAAAGCCCCGGTCGTGGTACCCGAGTGCTTCACGCCTCATGTGCCAGCGCACAGCAGCCCATGGTTGCCTGCTGGCCAGGAGGGCAGGGTGCTCAGCCACGGGCAAGAAGGTGGCCAGTGGCCAGCAGAGCAGCAGCTCTAAAAAATCAGTGGTAAGAGCAATGCAGCTTCTCTCTCATTTCCCTTTCCAGCTCCCTGCCTAACGTGCCCTTCACAGCTGGCACAGCTGGCCTGGGAGCAGCAGCATCAGCTTCCTGCTGTGGCTTTTGGGGCACTCACAGTTTCAGGGTGCACCCAGGGGTGGCTCAAGGCTGTTGGTGCAGTGCGAGGCAGCACTAATTCCTGGATAATCCAGATTTCAACTTGAAAGGCATCAAATAATGCAAGATCTCCAGCCCAACAGAAACCCAGTGCCACTCCTGTCTTGTTTAATTAGCCCTCCAGCATGATGTGTGATTTTAACTGGAAGAACGGCTCCATTCGGCACCGTGGCGATGGGTGGGGATGTAACGTTTCTGGTTTAGCCTGCAGTTCAGTCCGAGTCTTGCTGAAAGCAGCGGTTTGTGCAAGGCCAGCACCAGCACTGGAGGGGATGCGGGGAGGTTCAAGGAGCAGCGAGGGACAAGAAGGCAG